CAGAGAAGAAAAAGAAATAAAAGGAATACAAACTGGAAAAGAATATGTAAAACTGTAATTGTTTGCAGATTACATGATAATATACATAGAGAATCCTAAAGATGCCCCTAGAAAACTACTAGAGCTAATCAATGAATTTAGTAAAGTTGCACAATACAAAATTAATACACAGAAATCTCTTGCATTCCTATACACTAACAATGAAAGATCAGAAAGAGAAATTAAGGAAACAATTTCATTCACCATTGCAAAAAAAGGAATAAAATATCTAGGAATAAACCTACCTAAGGAGGCAAAAGACCTGTACTCAGAAAACTATAAGATACTGATGAAAGAAATCAAAAAAGACACAAACAGATGGAGAGATATACCACGTTCTTGAATTGGAAGAATCAATATTGTGAAAATGACTATAATACCCAAAGCAATCTACAGATTCAGTTCAATCCCTATCAAATTACCAATGGCATTTTTCACAGAACTAGAACAAAAAATTTTTACAATTTGTATCGAAACACAAAAGGCCCCAAATAGCCAAAGCAATCTTGAGAAAGAAAAAAGGAGCTGGAGGAATCAGGCTCCCTGACTTCAGACTATACTACAAAGCTACAATAATCAAGACACTATGGTACTGGCACAAAAACAGAAATATAGATCAATGGAACAGGACAGAAAGCCCAGAGATAAACCCATGCACCTATGGTCACCTTATTTTTGATAAAGTAGGCAAGTATATACAGTGGAGAAAAGACAGTCTCTTCAATAAGTGGTGCTGGGAAAACTGGACAGCTACTTATAAAAGAATGATATTAGAACACTCCCTAACACCATACACAAAAATAAACTCAAAATGGATCAAAGATCTAAATGTAAGGCCAGACACTACAAAACTCTTAGAGGAAAACATAGGCAGAACACTCTATGACGTAAATCACAGAAAGATCCTTTTTGACCCACCTCTTAGAGAAATGGAAATAAAAACAAAAATACACAAATGGGAGGGACCTAATGAAACTTAAAAACTTTTGCACAGCAAAGGAAACCATAAACAAGACCAAAAGACAACCCTCAGAATGGGAGAAAATATTTGCAAATGAAGCAACTGACAAAGGATTAACCTCCAAAATATACAAGCAGCTCATACAGCTCAATATGAAAAAGAAAAAACAACCCAATCCAAAAATGGGCAGAAGACCTAAATAGACATTTCTCCAAAGAAGACATGCAGATTGCCAACAAACATATGAAAGGATGGTCAACATCACTAATTATTAGAGAAATGCAAATCAAAACTACAATGAGGTATCACCTCACACCAGTCCTAATGGCCATCATCAAAAAATCTACAAACAATACATGCTGGAGAGGGTGTGGAGAAAAGGGAACCCTCTTGCACTGTTGATGGGAATGTAAATTGATAAAACCACTATGGAGAACAGTATGGAGGTTCCTTAAAAAACTAAAAATAGGGGCTTCCCTGGTGGCGCAGTGGTTGAGAGTGCGCCTGCCAATGCAGGGGACACAGGTTCGTGCCCCGGTCCAGGAAGATCCCACATGCCGCAGAGCAGCTGGGCCCGTGAGCCATGGCCACTGAACCTGCACGTCCGGAGCCTGTGCTCCACAATGGGAGAGGCCACAACAGTGAGAGGCCCGCATACCGCAAAAAAAACTAAAAATAGAACTACCATATGACCCAGCAATCCCACTACTGGGCATATACCCAGTGAAACCATAATGCAAAAAGATACATGCATCCCAGTGTTCATTGCAGCAATATTTACAATAGGCAGGACATGGAAGCAACCTAAATGTCCATCAACAGAGGAATGGATAAAGAAGATGTAGTATATATATATAATGGAATATTACTCAGCCATAAAAAGAATGAAACTGGGTCATTTGTAGAGACGTGGATGGACCTAGAGACTGTCATACAGAGTGAAGTAAGGCAGAAAGAGAAAAACAAATATCGTATATTATCCCATATATGTGGGTTCTTAAAAAATGGTATAGATTATCTTATTTGCAAAGCAGAAATAGAGACACAGACGTAGAGAACAAATGTATGGATACCAAAGGGGAAAAGGGTGTGGGTAGGATGAATTGTGAGATAGGGATTGACATATGCACTATTGATACTATATATAAAATAGATAACTAATGAGAACCTACTTTAAAGCACAGGGAACTCTACTCAGTGCTCTGCGGTGACCTAAATGGGAAGGAAATCCAAAAATGAGGGCATATATGTATATGTACAGCTGATTCACTTTACAGCAACTATACCCAAAAAAAAATTTTTCAAAGAAGAAACCAAAATGATTTTTTTTAGTTTCTTAATCTCTTTTATTTTATTTTTAATTGAAGTACAGTTGATTTACAATGTTGTGTAAGAAACCAGAATATTACCAGTGTCCCAGAAGACTCTATTGTGCCCCTTTTTGTCACAGCCTAACCTTTGGGAGTAACTACAGTTGACTTTTAGCATCATAGAGTTTTGGAGGTTTGTACTAACCATTATATAATTGAAATTGTATAGTATGTAATCTTTTGTGTCTGAATTCTTTTGCTCAACATTGTATTTGTAAAATTGATTTATACTGTTGCATATAGTTGTTTGTTGGTTCTCATTACCATTGTATAAATATGCCAATATTTAATAATCTACTATAAAGAATTTATTAATTTTACAATAAAAGCACAAGAGCTGTAAATAAATAAATAAATACATAAATAAAAGTCATGAAAAGAGATTCAACCAAATTTCATAAGACTAGCTAGAGAAATTCCACCATAAGCTGGTCAACAGAGTTTTCTAAGTAGCTTGCTCCTCTTTATCATTCCATTTAAAATTTAAAATTTGGAAATTAGGGCTTCTCTGGTGGCACACTGGTTAAGAGTCTGCCTGCCGATGCAGGGGACACGGGTTCATGCCCCAGTCCAGGAAGATCCCACATGCCAGGAAGTGGCTGGGCCCGTGAGCCATGGCCGCTGAGCCTGCGCGTCCGGAGCCTGTGCTCCGCAACAGGAGAGGCCGCAACAGTGAGAGGCCCGCGTACCGCAAAAAAAAAAAAAAAAAAAAATTTGGAAATTAACCCATAGGCCATCAGGAGAACATCTGTATACCTTTGAAGAGAACATAACTATGAATGGAAGTGAAGGAATAATTCTTTTCCCAGTCCTTGTCCATATTCATATCCTGACCTTCACTGCAGTTATTCTGGTTCTCGAGTTCATTTAAAGAGTTTAACTGCTTATAATGAATTTACTCAATCGGATAATGACTGAGTAAAAAATATAGTCATTCTACTCATTTATTTTTTTAACTTTAAGTCTTAACCAAGAGTCCAAGTTAAGTGGAAGTAAAAGGAAAATACAGTTGTCACTTTATAGAGACTGGCTAAATGATTTTCTACTTTTGATCCTTCATCAAAGCATATTCTTAAGAACCTCATTTTATAATACTTCCCTGGTTTTTTCTTCTACTTCCAGAAGTCTAACTTTCAAAATGTATGAATCACTGGAGAGGTTCATCACTCTTCTTTATTTCACAGGGCTTTCTGCTAACATAATTCAGCCACAAAAGGATTAAATGCTTCCAAGAATGAAAATCGCATAACTAACAAGTGTGAAGTGGCTCTCTCTTACCTTAGCATCTTTTTTGAGTAATTACTTCACTGAATGTTCTACCAGAAATGAGTTAGGTGGTTCCTGAGCCATGCAGAGAGTGATGTATAGATGATATTATGTCTTTTGACATGTGACACTAAGGCTAAAACATTTAACTTGATAGATATATAGTATTTCTACAGGCTGGTGGTATTCCCTGAGGAATTTCTAAATGTCCCAGTGAATCTATAACCTTCCCTCAATACCTTGAAGCACTTATAGAACCAGGGATTTCCCAGAGCAGAGCACCCTCTTTGCTGATACATCTATGGAATTACAGAATTTCTGAGCTGGAAAAGATCTAGGAAAGCCCACATAATGACAAATCTTTTTTTTTTTTTTAACATCTTTATTGGGGTATAATTGCTTTACAATGGTGTGTTAGTTTCTGCTTTATAACAGAGTGAATCAGTTATACATATACGTATGTTCCCATATCTCTTCCCTCTTTGTCTCCCTCCCTCCCACCCTCCCTATCCCACCCCTCCAGGCAGCCACAATGGAAGAAGTCAAGCTATTTGCAGTGACCTTGGGCCCATCACTTTACCTCAACTGGAAATTGAGAGGACTAGACTAGATATTTATTTATACTCTATTTAAAGAAGATTTGTCACAGGGATACCGGCTCGGTTCTTTGTGACAAATCTTCTTTAAACAGAGTATAAATAAATATCTAGTCTAGTCCTCTCAATTTCCAGATGAGGTAAAGTGACTGGTCCAAGGTCACTGCAAATAGCTTGACTTCTTCCATTTTAATTCATTTCTCTTCCAACCGTTGACACTGCGCCTGATTTGAGAGTAAGCCAAAGGATATGTCATACTCTCCTTAGTAGGTAGGCTAAGCATCTATATGGAATATTCTAGAGGATTGCCTGCTCTGATTAGTTTTATGTAGTATGAAATTAATTTGCATCATAAAGAAGAACTCAAACAGGAGTATATAGGAAAGGACCCTTCCCCAGAGTCTATGCCCTGTGGCTCCCAGTCACTGAGTAAGCCATGTGGACAACAAGAAACAGAGAAGGTATGTGTGGGTGGGGGGGGGGGGGGTA